GTCCGTAATAAAGAAGGAGGAGGAGGAGGAGGAGAGGGTAACGAAAGGGTGGAGGGAGAGGATCAAGAGCATCTCACAATTGCCAGCGTTGCCACTGCGTTCGGTACGTCGACTATGCCCGAGATTCTGCCCTCAGCTGGGGCGCAGGAGAGGAGCAGGTAGACCTGGGGCATCGGTCAGGAGGAGGAGTTCAAGTTTATGTATCAACACCTGCTCCTTTGAGTACCCGAACTTTGAAAGGTAGTCGATGGCGTTCAGAACGGCGCGCTTGTAGGCGACGGAGGCGTCGAGAAAATGCTGCAGGTCAAAGATGGCGTGAGAGACGGGAAGATAGGGAGAGAAAGAGCAAAGGAAAACAAGAGATACGGGAGGGAGAAAGGGGGCAGAGCAGAGCAAGGGACGAAGAAAGGAAGGTGGGTGAAAGGTACGGAAGCTGTAGGGGAGGGACAGGAGGGTGAAAGGAGAGCGGGAGGAAGGTGAGATGTAGGGGAGAAAAAGGAGAGGGAGAGGAGAGGGAGGGGAGGAAGAGGAGGGGGGGGTCAGGGGGATGGTTAGAGGGTAAGAGGAAGGTGTGATGTAGGAAGAGGAGGAAGAGGAGAGGGATTTCAGGGGACTTTGCAGGTCGACCTGCTTTCCGGACTCATCGACCGAAATGCCTTCAAAGACGAGCCACTCGGAGAAACGAGGCTCGCACGGGCCGATCTCGAAGATCGGGTTCACGTGAAGCTTCGTTGGCCCCATGGGGGTCATGTACCTTCGAGAGCGAGCGTGTCAAGCACAGCGAGTAGCGAGGACGGAGAACTCGCTGACTCTGCTCTCCCTCCCTCCCTTCCTTTTGCTCTGAAGTCTCGCTCTCCCTCCGTCCGCCCCTCCTCCGTCCGTCCCTCGCTCCCCTCGTTCCCTCGCCCCCTCCCCTCGCTCCGAAGCTCCGTCTCGCCCTTGCTCCCTCCATCCCTCAGTCCTCTCCTCGCTCCCTTGCTCCCTCGCCCACTCTGGCTCTCCCTCCCTTTCGCTGTCGTTGGCTTCCTCGCTCCTTATCCCCTCTCCTTCAGCTCCTTCTCTCTTGCCCTCTAACTTGGCTCCACTCACATTTCCATCCCGTTGCGGATGATCTCGGTCTTGAGAACAAGGAAGCCGCTCATCTCGATAGCTCCGCAGAACGAAACCTCTCCATCCCCCTGCCAGCCTCTTCAGCCGCCGCACCCTCTCACACTCTGCTGGTCACCTGAGAGAAGTGCATGTCTCCCATAGACAAGTTCGCTCCCTCCACGAAGACAGGGAAGTAAACCTTGCACCCTCTAGAAAGGTTCTTAATGTCGCAGTTGCCTCCGTTCTCCCGTCCGGGAACTGTTCGGGCTGCTTCACTTGCCATCTTCTCCCACTGCGGGCTCCCCTTGGGCACCCCTCCCAGCAACGCTCCTTTCGGCTCGGGCAAGCACGCGAGGGGCCTCGTGTGAAGGCATCCGCAGAGGGTAGTACTCTTCTCGCCTCCTTCCACCAGCTTCTTCTCCCTCTCGTTCCAGATCGCTAGGAGCTCATGGGACGGGGCAGTCCCGATGAGCCCGGGGTGGATAAGGCCTGGGAAGCGGACACCGGGGATGTGGCGGCTATGCGCGAACATCCCATCGAAGTTCCAGATCGCCTTGGCTGCCGCTGGGAAGTGATCAGTCAAGAACCCGCCGCCATTGTCTCGGTCAAAGATGCCGGTGAAGCCCCACTCGTCTCCGGGCAGAGGTCCGAGCTAGGATGACAGTCAGGGGCAGCGCAAGGGAGGAAGGGACGACGTGCACGTCCTACCTCCACGATCTCCACGACCAGGATGTCCCCTGGCATAGCTGCCTTGGCATCAGCGTCTTCGATTCGGAAGGGTCCTGACAGGTAGTGAACTTGATTGAGATCGACATGCTTGATGTCGTCAGACGAGTCGTCGTCTTTGATCTGCCCACCTGCCAGTCCGACAAGTCACCACCAAGGACATGCTTCTCTCAGCACGAGCGAGGATACCTGTCCAGTCTATCGTTTCAACTCGGAAGAGCTGCCCTTCTCGGATGGTTGCAACAGGAGGAATGTCGGGATGCCATCTGTTGTGCAGTGGTGGGCTCTGCTCCCATGCCTTCTTTGAGACGTCAACCTTCGAAGCTTGCAATGGAGTGCTTGGAGGCATCTGAAATCGAATCAGCAGCGTCACTCTTACTTGTACCATGGCAGCGAGTCTGAATCATCTTTTTATGTGCTTCATTTAGACTGTCAATTCTCAAGCTTGAAGCTCCCTCTTTCCCACTCCGTTTGAAAATCTAGTCCCAGTTTGCGTCTTACAACTATGATATTTACCTTCCTTGGTTCTCAAGATAGATTGGTTCAGAGGTGTTCTTTATCACTTTGCCTTCTTCCTACATTGCTACATCTCATACACTTCTGCCATGTCTCGCCTTCTAGCTTCGCACTTTCTGTTCCCTCCAGCCCCTTGCGCTACACCGCTGACATGGAATCCGGGCACCCTTGCAAGGCAAGGCCAAACGCTGCGATTTTGGAGCCTTTCGGGTCCTCTGACTCCGGTTGCAACCTTTTCCGACAGATACTTCAGTGCCGCCCGGCCCGGCCGCCTTGGGCCGATTGGGCCCGGGGCCCGGGCCGGCCCAGACCAGACCGTGTCGGAGTCCGGCCGGCCCGGCGGGCCGCGCCGTAGTACTCTCCTGATTGTCCTCGTACTGATCTTTAACTTAACTTTGAGTAAACTTTTGCCACCGGAAGTGGCTCTTCAGAGCAAATCTGAGGCGGTGGCGAATTCCTGAAAGTTGACTAATGATGAAAGGTACCTATGTCGAAAGGCCGGGCCGCTGGAGAAGCCTGACGGCTCTGCCGATCGTGATGATGACCGGGCACTTGAAGACCCGAGTGCGCCTCAGGTGATCAATTTTAATGTTGATTGTGTGACGCATTGACGTTAAACCATGCTTTTTAACGTTAAACATCCACTTGGACGTTAAAAAGTGTCACGTCCAGATCTTGTTGGGCCGCTGTAGCGTCGGTTCGGAGGTAGGCGAGATGAGCCTTAAATTAGCTAGATTTGCCTAAATTAACTGATATGAAACTTAAATCTCAACGGTTTTAATTTGGAAGCCGCAGTTAACGCACGGTCTCCAAGGAACAAAAAATTGTGCTCACGGCCTGATTTGAAATTGGATAAAATTGTTCAACATCGTGGTCTTATATCGAAACCTTGAGCATACGATTTCAAAATTTATTTTCAGGGGTTAAAGGGGGCTCATCTCTTGCGCCCCTAGAAGCACGGACAAAGATGGAAGGTTCTCGCTAGCGAGGGTTACCACCGGTCATTGTATGCAGATATTCATGGGATCGTGGGGGTTCACTTCGAAAGGGGTCCTTGTTCGAAAGGCTATCACTTGTTGATTAAGTCAACTCGCAACTGCTGACAGACTTCTTCCCCCTCAGCAAAAACCCCATCGTTTGAACGACCAGGGATTCGAACATACATTTGTTGGATTCATGTATAACTTATATTACTACATGGCGGCTGCTCGGACACAACATCCGTGCACCACCATTTTTACTTCACCCCCTACATTGTTCTTGAAACATACCATAACCCCAAAATGCTCTATCAAAGTACCCGGTAGATAGTCAACCAAATCATACCCTACCCTGATGTTTTGCAGGTAACGTGACATCATTGGCCTCCAGCTGAAAATGCAAGATTTAGCAGTTTCACTCCTAAATTACTACTGATATTAAATTGGTACCACCATACCTTCTAGACCCCATGAGGACAACGATTGGTTTTCAAGATTTTGATGGGGTACTTGAGGGTCATATCATCATGCTTCAGAGAAAAGGTAGGGTATTCAAACCTAATAATGGGGGTGAAGACGAAGGAGGTAGAATCAAATCGTAGGGTGGGTCACATGTCCCAGTGAAGTGGTTGGTAGCTAGGGTTTGTCTGTTTGGTTCTGTTTGATCCAGAGGGTGGGTACAGGAATGGTTCGTGGGGTCTACCAGTACGGGTTATTCTTCCAGTAAAATAGGCTGGAGATGACGGGTGATAAATGTCCCAGTTTTTACAAAGATGGGGTGGAGGAGGAAGAGGGTGGTGTATTGGTGAGCTAAAAGGGGGTAGGGGTGGGGGAGGAGAATATATCTAAGGGTTGGGTTGACGGAACGACAGAAGAGGACAGCGAAAGGAAATTGGAACGTAGTTCAGCACAAGGACAAGAACAGTGAACGGTGTGAACAGTTAAAGATTGCTGTTTTGAGGGAGCAAACAAAGGAACATATTCACCGACAACATTTACTATGTGTGAGATGAGGGCGAAAACTGTAGAGCATATCCATCCTGGCTCCAAGCATGCGCGGAGACAGAGCGTGGAGGAGGTTGTGGAGAGCATGCCTTTGGGCCTGCTCGCTCAAAAGGGACGCGTATTGTTGGAACCGGTTGAACCATTCTTTATTACTAGCGTCGATGGCCCTGCCACTGCATTGCTTGGCAAGAGCTCGTCGAGGATTACTGGAAGGATGCTGAGGTCTATTGATTCTTGCGTGGGAGGAAACAAGAGCCTCTGCGCGGCAGCTCGTACGGCACTGCATGAGAACAAGAGAGTGTTTCTCACTCTCCCCCGCCCTGTTGGCAATGGGATCCTGATCTTGGCCTTCCAATCGAAGCCAACGACCACCGGAGTGGATCGTATCGAGCTGCTCATCTTCCCCACCCAGGAAGGGCTCGATTTGGAGATCAAGGATCCTCTCGTTGAGAGCATGCGGGTTCCTAGCGCGCACACCGCACTGGAGGTCAAGATCTCATCCAACTCAGGAAGGGACAGTCCTGACAAGGACTTGGAGATCTCCGATGAGGAGATGCAGGATTCCCAGAGCGGAGACGATGAGCTGTTCGACTACAACATCGACGTCAAGACAACCCCAAGGCACAAGATTGCTGATTTTGAGGTTGAGAATTTTGATCTGAGCAACACCCTCAGTGCTCTTCGCTTGTAAACTGTAAACTAGTTTCTATTCGTTCCAATAAACTGATTGGATCACACTGCTCTGGAATGATTTGTTGATTTATTACTTGCGAAACTGCATGTAGGATGTTGAAGACTGTACTAAACAGTTAATCTCCTCAATGTCTTCTAATTGCCTTCATTGTATAACACAGTCTGGCATCCGCAACAGAGAACTGTACTGAATTCTACAGAAGCATCAGAAACAGGAAAGATACTTTCAAACCTTACATGCGGAATCGCCGCAGCTCCTGCCATTCTTCCATGGTGATCGCGTTGTTCTGAGATGTGAGATATCATAAAAGTTGTCTGATTGGTCGTCACGATCATGATGTCATTGCATCATCATCATCATCATCATCATCTCCATCATCATCATCATCATCTCCATTATCATCATCTCATTCATCATCAGTTTTGTTGCGCACCAAAATGAATGAGTTGTTACGGTGGAGGTTGAGAACGCCCGGAATTTCAAACTTGTTGCAAATTGAGTTCTTAGTCTTGAGAGATGAACGAGTTACCTTGCAGACAGGACAAGAAGCATTCCTATGAAACCATTCGCGGATGCAGTGGAAATGAAAGAGATGTCTGCCGCAAACAACAGGAAGCAAGTCCAGCATGAGAATGGCGAGCAAGGCAGGTTCACACAGAATTCACCTGCAAGGCAGGGAGACAGCGTTTCCATCCTCGAATTTGAGGTTCTCGTAACAAATTATGCAGCTGAAATCCTCCTCCTGCTCTATCGTCATCTCTTATCCTCCTTCCTCCCCTCCTCCCCTCCTCGCTCCCCCCACACTACCTCCCCCAAACAAACACGCACGCACACACCGCTGCGCCCGATCCTCCATCATTCTCTCCCCTTCCATCGCTCGATCCCCCTCCACTTGCTCCCTCCCTTTCTCGTTCCGTCTCTCTCTTCACCTGCCCTTCTCCATCCTCCGGCCTCTCGCTGCTGGGAATCTCCGACAAGGTGGTGGAGGGAGAGGGGAGGGAAGGAGATGCCCTTCGCGCTCCTCCGAAGAATCCCCGAGGTGGTCTCTCATACCACTTCATGAGAACGCCTCCTCCTCGTACGAGGTCGACAGGCTGGAGGTGGAGGAGCCTGGAGCAGGAACGATGAGTGGAGAGGAGAGGAGGAGGAAGAGAAGGCAAGGGACCCGTCTTCGAGAGGATGTTGAGTGGCCTTGATGATCCCCAAGGAGATCTGGAGTGAGGAGGACAGGAGGAGGATGTATAAGTGAGGAAGAAGGTAGATAAAGATATGAGGAGGAGACAGGGAGAAAAGAGAAGACAGAGTTAGAAAGGTAAGCCTTGCGGTGACATCCTCCTCCTCTTCACCTTTGTGCCGAACGGACCAAGAAAGCAGTTGCGAAGCCTACAAGATGACGTTAAAGGAAAGTTTGAGAGCAAGAAGGGGAGGGAAGGAAAACGGTTCGTTGGTTGAACAAGTTCGAGAAAAGACTGAGAGCAGGACGGGGAGCAAGACCAGACGAAGAAGGAGAAGGAGAAGGAAAAGAAAAAGGAGAAGGAGAAGGAGAAGATGGAGGAAGAGAAGGAGAGGGTGGGGGAGAAGAAAAGGAGGAGGAGGAGAAGGAGGAGAAGGAGGAGAAGGAGGAGGAGAGGAAGAGGGAGAGGGAGAAAGAGAAGGTGGAGGAGAAGAAAAAGGAGAAGAAGGAGAAGAAAAAGGAGGAGGCGAGGGAGAAGGAGAAGGGGAAGGTGGAGGAGGAGAGAGGATGGAGGATCGCGTTCTCAACCTTGTCGACGTCCACCCGATGATTCTCTCATTATTTACACTAACAACAACATCCCCAACCTGCGGCTTTCATGCTCAAGAACCCTCTGCATCCCAACCCATCTCTCCAACTTTCCTCTCTTCTTCTCACGCTGGAACTCATCCTTCTCTCCTTCACTTTGACTCACGCATGAAGCAAGTGTACTCGCCTATCTCCCTCTCTCTCCCCTCCCCTCTGTCCCCTTCAGCTTCTCTTACCCCGATCTCGCCACTCTGTGCAGCTGCTCCTCCAGGAACAAGCATCTGAACGACTCCTCCCTGATGCAAGATGTTCCTCACCAACGGCAACAGCAGGTAGACAAAGATGAAAGAGGCTGCAAGAGGGGAGGAATGACAAAGAGCAGGAGCGAGAGGGCGGCAGGAGCCCGGAGCAGAAGACAGGAGGCAAGCAGACCTGAGGGCAGGGATCGAGTCCTAGGCCGATTCCAAAAAGAGGAACAACAGACCGCTGACCCGTCACCTGCAGGGAAGCATCAACAAGAAAGGAATACTAGCACACAAGTGTGGAGTGGAGGATGGGAGAAAAACGGAATGGGAGAAGGGTAGAGAGGGAGGGAGGGAGGGAGGGAGGGAGGGAGGGAGGGAGGGAGAGGAGGGAGAGAGGGAGGGAGGGAGGGAGGAGGGAGGGAGGGGAGGGAGGGAGGAAACGGACGAAACGGAAAAAGGGG